TTTAGTTGTTGACTTTGTCCTTGTGGGACCACAAATGACTGTAGCACCTGCCAACCATGGGTTCCCAGTTCAGGGAAGAACAGAAAGGGGGAAGACACCCAAGGGTCCAGACAACAAAGATTTTATTAAAAGCCTTATCCAGCAAATGTCCTTACATTTCATCACTCAAAACTGCCATGGGGAGAACCCTAACTTAAACGTGGCTATGAAGCAGGGGCAGTGAAGTCAATGTTGAATGGGAGCTGGGTCAGCCAACCAGTAGTGCCTGCCACATCTGGCCACAGCTCCTCCTGCATGCATATTTGGTTCTCTCCACCAGGTTCCTCTGTTTTAAAGCAGAGTTGCCCTGTTGACATGTTGGGCCCAATAACTCTGTTGCGGGGGTTTGTTCTGCACCTTATAGAATCTTCAGCAGCATCCTGAGCCTCTGCCCACTAGATGCCACCTTGCTGTGACAATTAAAAATGTCTTCAGACATTGCTGCATGTCCCCTAGGGACAAGATCACTCCCTGGTTGAAAACCACTGCTTCAAATGAATCACCATCTCCCTCTAGAGTGACAGCTACTTGTTGAGGTCTGTATTGTCTCTAACTTGCCTTGTTGCCATCAAGTGGATTCTGACTCATCGTGACCTTATAGGACAGAGTAGAAGTGCCCCATAGGGTTTCCAAGGCTGTAATGTTTATGGAAACAGATTGCCTCATCTTTCTCATGTGGAGTGGCTGGTGGGTTTGAACCACCTTTTGGGTTGCAGCCAAGCACTTAAATCACTGTACCATCAGGGCTCCTTGCTTAGCTAAAAAACCAAAGTCACTGCCATCGACTCGATTCCAACTCATGGCGACCACGGTTGGGTTTCTGAGGCAGTAAATCTTTATGGAAGTAGATTGCCCAGTCTTCCTTCTGCAGAGTGGCTGGTGGGTTTGAACCGCCAGCCTTCTGTTAGCAGTCAAATGCCTTAGGCCCTACACCACCAGAGCTCCTTCTGCTTATCTATAAGTACCCAAAAATTGTCTCTAGCAATAGTTACCCTCCCAGACACAGTTCCCTCTTCCCTTTCTGACTCTTTTAACTTTTGTTTTAAGTGTTTAGGAAACACTGTATATATTTTTTTCTTCCTAGACAGTGCAGACACTGGGAAGTTGTGGAGCCAGAATATATCCTATTGTCAATTCTCATCCAGAAGTCATAGAATCCTGGAATAACAATGCTAGAAGAAACTTCTAGAAGTCACCTGGCAATTGCTTGTAAGGAAGCTGCCATGTAAAAGAGTAACCCTGACCCTCA